GGTCTCACCAAGTTGCCCAGGTTGGTCTTGAATTCGTGGGCTCAGGCAATCCTCTCACATCGGCCTCTCAAAGTGCTGGGATTATAGGCATGAGCCACCGCGCCCAGTCATGATTCAGTTTAAAATGTACTTTGGACCTGAATTATTCTCACTTTTCTACATTGAATGCGATCATACATCTCACCAGAAAATTGTCATAAGGACAATTTTAGTTTATAATTGATAGATCACAGAATGCACAGACTACTGTTCCACTTGACAAAATCCCAGAGAAAAAAACAAGTCTTTCAAATGATGACATTAGCTCAAGCTCAATTTAGTTACTTCTTACTAGGTTAGAAAATCCTTTTTAAAAGGGCTTATGTTTTTCTTTCAATAACCCAACAATATTTTCTGTAGTTAGCACACAGCAGATGCTCAACACACACATTAAGTGAATGAAGTAGCCAATAAATGCTAACCTTTCTTACTGCTTGAGGTCTGGTTAAGAATTTAACACCACATCTAAATTTCAAGGCAAACTTCTTAATAATTAATAGAGTAAAAAAGTAAACCAGTTTGCATTAACTAGCTATCCATTTTAGCCAGAGAAGTCCTTCTGTCCCCATTACCTCCTGTCCTAGGAGGCAATACCCTCCTTTCAAACCTCTACAGCTCTGACACATACCAAAAATGAAGACGAAATATATTTCTCTCTTTCCCTCTAATAAATGCCCTAAAGAATATTTACTTCTCTAAAGGCAGAAGAATCCATACTGAAAATTGTCAACCAAATCCAGGTTCTGGCACCAGCAATGCCACTGTACATAATGCCATAGCAATGTCAACCACTGTAGACTCACGCATTCTCTAGCACATGCACCTGGTAAGATCTTTTGTTTAAATCAACATATGATGGGCCCAGTTATGGTAGTCACATTTCCACTTATCAAATGCACTTAAAAAGTATTGTCACACATATTAATTAGCACCAGTAGGAGAGAACAAATGAAGTTATAATCAAGCTGGGCTTGGTGGCTCATCCTGTAATCCCACGCCTTTGGGAGGCTGAGGTGAGTGGATTGCCTGAGCCCACGGGTTCGAGACCCGCCTGGGCAGCGAGACCTCATCTCCACAATAAATCAAAAAATCAGCCAGGCGTGGTAGCGCATGCCTGTAATTCCGGCTACTCGGAAGGCTGAGGCAGAAGGATCGCCAGAGCCCAGCAGGCGAGGTTGCGGTGGCCGGGAACGGCCACTGACTGCACTCCAGTCTGGGCGACTGAGTGAGACTACAACTCAAAAAAAAAGTTATAATCATATCAATAATTGTAATTAAATATAAAAAGCCTATCTTTTTATCCTTGACATTTTGACTGCAAGAGTTGAAATTCAAATCATTAAAATTAAATGCAAAACAAATGAAATAAAAAACTAATGATTCAATTTTTTCAATACTACCTAAATAATTCAGCCAACTGTAGCATACACTATGAGAGTCCTAACACATTATCCATATATACTTTAATAAATTGTTATATAACACCTCAACCAACAGCAACACAGACTGATCTTTAAATAGTAAAAAAGTATGTTTCCTCTTGAAAAAGGATATCCTCTGAAGGAGAGGAATGATACTTTGGGGAAGCCCATACTGAGCACATACAGAATTGGAAGGACTAAAGTAGAATGCAGGGAAAGGAGGATAAAATACCACCTTCATTTGGCACTCCCTTTTCTATTATAATTAAGATCATCTATAAAGCTAAATATTTTTGCTAATAATTTCAGCATACAGGTGGATGAACTTTTCAACAGTTTGAATAACATCAATAGTTAGCTGTATACACTTGATATATATCTCTGTACCTTGGTTTTCCTCCCTGAAAAATAAAGGCAAAAAGGACACAAGAGTTCTTTCTTTCTAGCCCCAAAACTTGATGATAGTTTCTAGAGTAGAGGTTCCCAAACTTTCTAGGTTCATGGCACCCTTGGTATCTCAGTAATTTTCTCACAGTAGACCTACATCAAGAAATAATAACAGCTCTACTTGAGTAGTTAGTAGCTATGTGAAAAGATAATATATCTAAATTGAAAAAAAATCATGTTTTTTACTTCATTCTTAAATAACCATAATTACTTATGAGATGTATATTACTGTTGAGCATTGCACAACTTCTCAAACCTTAGAATCAGAGTGGACAGCTATCCTATTTCCTGTTCCACACTGATTTTTATGCAGTACTTGCATTTCACCACAGCAACCACTAAAAAAACCCAACTTCACAAAGATATGTCATCTACAGGAATGTAGCACAATCTAATCTTGAAACCATGAACTAGCCTTACAGTAGTTCACCCGACAACCAACCGATGTTCAAGTATTACTATATCTTCCTTGAAAATTTAAACCATCAGACAGCATTTCTGTGAGTTGTCAATAATGCCCTGGGATGCTTTGGTGCAATTTGGGACCTATGGTCCTATGGCAAGGTATATAATTTTGTGGCTTTGGACTCAGACAAATTTGGGTTGGAAATCAGATTCTACCATTAAAGTATATAATCTTGGACAACTGAATCAACCTCTTGAACCTAAGTTTCTATGTCTGCCAAATAGGAATAATACTATCAACCTCAGAGAATAGTTGTAAGGAACTAATTTCATGTCTTTTAACTCTAGTACACAATTCCTTACCTAAAAGAGTAAAGCTCAAATCTTGTTAGCTGAACTAGTATCATTTGAACAGCTATCACAAGTAAGTTGACCATCAATCTGAAAATCTCTTCCCTGCACCACAATGACATTCCACTTGCAAAGACTTTTTCATTTGCCAAGTGTTCTGAACAGTGTAATATTAATTATTATTCTAAGATCACCTTATGACAGGATCTATTATTAGCAGTCCCCTTAACAACTGCACCAATGGTAGTGCAGTGGCTGAACTAAATGATTCCTCTTAGCACAGACTATTTCTCATTTTTACTTAGTCTGTGGCCCACTGTTCAACTCTAGAAGTATTAAGCTGACTCTAATATTGTATTCTTTTGATACTAATATAAGCTAAATGCAGTGGTCAAATTTCCCAAAAGAAAGAGAGGTAAGCAATCTTGTACACTACCCAAAACACCATGCCATCCCAGAAACCCTATGTCTTGCCTTTTAACTTGGTCCAAATAAATTCCTAAAACAATCTGCCAACAATCCTTTCCCAAATTCCCACATTACTCTTTCTGTCAGACACGTTATCATTTACCAAAGCATCCTAAAAGCAACTTAATAAGGCATCCTACTTCACAATAACTATCTTCTTAAAAATAAAAAAAAGATGTAAATACAATTTGACAATGAAATTACTACAGTGGGGAGCTTAAAGAAATTCTGCAAGAAGTCTTTATAAAACGTAACTAATCACATTCCTATTTTGTACTATTTTAAAAACTAGACTTTTGTAAGCCAGTTTGGTTAAGATAGAGGGGAGTTGGACAGGTAAGAAGATATATAGTCATGTATTATAACTGCCGTATTAATTGAAGTCTTTGGTAACCATAACATCATACACATTCACTTTAATATTTTGAAGAACTTCATATTTGGACCCTTCCTAGCAATGCAAATAAATTATGTTAACAGAAACTTCTTCATTTACATATAAAAATAGAAGAGCGACCCTGCTTTCTTGGAAAGGAAACAGCTATCTGTCTAGTACAATACCCAGTCCCTCGACCATCTAAAATACACACACAAAAAGATCCATTTGGAAAAACGTTTCTTCTCCGGCCAAGAGCTGTTTCTAGATAAAAGCAATCTCAGAATACAACAAAAAAGCCTTCTCTGAGGGAAGAAATGTGCCAGAAAAGGAGCGACAGGGATCGGGAATAAATGGGGGTGAGCGTAAGCACTCAGAGTGAAGGCTGGAGGCAGCAGGCGCAGCGCTGAGATGCTCCAGCTACAGAACCAGCAGCAGCAGCAGGAAGTTTCAATGGGGCCGGGCAGAGCATGCGCCCTGCACCCGCGCGGTGGCCTTATGTGGAAGGAGCACCACTTGCGAACACCAATAATAGACCAGCGGCACCAGAGAGAGAAACATGAGCAACAAGCACCTTCTTCAACTGTTTCCCCCTCCCTCAGAGCCCCTCCTCCAGCCTACATACTAACCACCCCACCCCACCCTGCAAATGGGAGGGCGACTTCTTCCCCTAAGCCCTACTGCCAAGATGAAGGGGGAAGGGACGGGAAAAGTGGGGAGATGCTTTTCTATTATTTGGGGGGAGGTGGGGAAAGGGAGGAGAAAAACTATGGAGGAGGAATTAACCCTCTCCTCTCCAAAGTGGAGCCGAACCGATTTCGCCTCCCTACCGAGAATAGAGAAGGACCCCCCCTCCCATGGGGGTGGAGCAGACATGCCTACTCGAAGGAAGGAGTTCTGGGGGTTAAACCAGCCCACAAGGGGAAGGGAAGAGGGACGAATCTCTCGGGGGAGTTCCCAACTGAGGGAGGGAGAGTTGAGTGTCCGCTGGCCCCCGCCCACCCAGGTGAAGGGAGCAGAGGGGGGTGCCCGGAGAAGACGGGCCCAGCTTCCCCAGAGATGGTCGGGAGGATTGGTGGGAGGAGGGGAAGGAGTAAGAGAGGGGAGGAGGAAAAAAAGCGCAAAGCTGGCCGGAACCTGGGCTCCCCTTCCCCCGCCGCCGACGGGGAGAAGGGGTGGGGGACCGGCCCCCGCCGCGGAGGAGCAGACCCAGGGGCGGCCGACCGGCACAATGACCCCTCCCCGCCCCCAGCCCACACCTAGCCCGCGACGCCCCCACCTCTGCCCCCCACGGGGCCGAGTGGCCCTAGGGGGCCTCCGCCCCGCCTCCCCACTGCCCAAGGCCCCGGGGGCTGGGCGGAGAAAACCGGCCCGGCGGAGTTGCGCTCCGGGGAAAGAGGACAGAGGCGCGGAGGCCCAAGGTGCCTGTGAAGAGCGGAGAGGAGGAGCGCGCCAGGGCCGCTTCCCGCCGGGCGTACGGGCCCCTCGCTTACCTTCTCCGTGGCCGACGTCCGGCGGCGGCGCCTGCAGCACCCGCTCCAGCTCAGGGAACGGCAACTCAGGCAGATCCAGCAGCGGCCCGTAGCGCTCCAAGAAGGAGCAGACTACGGCGAAGTTGGGGCACGAACCCGGGCAGCCCGGAGGAGCCATCGCCGCCGCCGCTGCCGCCGCCGTCGCCATTTTGAACTGGAGGATGGAGGAGGAGGCGATGGGGGGGTGAGGGGAGTTGGGGTGCAGAGGAATGGCAGGGCAGCCTCACGGACGACAGGAGGCGCTCTCAAGTGGGCTCCCCCGCGGATCCGTGCGCCTCAGGGACTGCGCCGCGATCCCACAATACATCGGCGGCCCGGAGCAGTCGAGAACCGAGTCAGACGGGAGACAGAGAGGCGCCCTGCGCCTTTCACTTTCCGCCGTCTTTCCGCCCCCTTCTCTCCCTCTACTTCTCCCCTCCCACTTTGGGTTTGCCACAGCCTCGTGTGACAGGGGGAATGAAAACAAGGGAAGCGGGGCGGGGAGGCGGGCTGGAAGTGGGAGAGGCGGGACTGGTCAAGAACACTGACCAATAGGCGTGAAGGGGAGGAGCTTCGTGCGCCGACCAGCGGAAAGGCTGGTTCCGGGCGGGGCAGTAGGGAGCGCCTAGCGGAGAGCTGCGCTTCTCGCGGAGGTGAGAGGTACGGCGCCGCGCCGCTTGGGGACGCAGCTCTGAGGAGAGGGCGGTGGGTGAGTCTTCGGGCGGGACCTAGAACGGAAACTGGGCCACGAGATGGTGGGAAAGGTTGAGGGGAGCGAATGAGCAGCAGAGAAAAGGAGACCATTGTGAGAAGAGGCGGAGAACGGGAAAGGTAGAGCGTTCCCCTTAATTAGGGGCTGGGGTGGGACCGTTGTAAGAAGCCTGCGAAAGTTTGCTGAGGGGCATTGCCCTCTGCTGGGGCACCAGAGTCGCAGCTTGGCTGGAAAAGCGGGGTCTGAGGGCTCTGCTCGGTGGCAAGGGCCTCGAAGGAATGCGACTCTGCGGGGATCATCGAAGTGAGGGGTGGGGGCCCTGCTGGGCGATAAGGGTGTGGGGCCACCAGGCTCTGCGGGGGGCCCAAGGTGTGAGGGGACGTAGCTCAGCCGAGATGGCCGGTGGACGAGGGACCGGAGTCGGAGTGTGGGCCGAACGTGGTAGGAGACCGTGGAACAGCAACACGTTTGTTGGAAGACGGGGTTCCACTCCGTGGGGGGTGGCAGTGAACATTCTCCCGCAGAGAATCCCAGAGAAAAACCACCCGTCATGAAAAATAGAATGTGCAGCTTGGGCAGCACCGCGCCCTGCGGTTGTTGCCTGAGCTTTGGATGCCGCCAGACTTGAGTCCTAGCAGGACGGCTTCATGACATCGTGGAAGTTGCTTCATTTCTTTGAACTTCTGTAAAGTGCGATGGGAATCGTACCTGCATCGTAGGGCATAACTACATGAGTCACAGTGCATGTTCAGGTTTTGAAAAAGGGAAACGGGAGGGCGAACCACGATGGTGTATATCATTCTCATTATCTAAAGAAAGAAAAAATATTCGTTTATAAAGAGAAAAATTTTGTATTGTAAGAGGAATTTATTACCTTAAATACTGATTCTTAATCTTGAGTAATATACAAACCCATCTTAAAGGGAAAAAAATATTTGAAATTTGGCTAATACTCTGGAAAATTCCAGTTTAAAGATATACTAATGTAAGAAATTAAAGTCTAAACAACAATGTGAATATACTGAATGCTACTGAAGGATATACTTTAATATGGTTTAAATGATATAGTTTATGTTTAAAAAAACTAAAGTCCTACTTTAGGAAAATGTGGTTATGAATTATCGCTGCAAAAGGGGTTTTAATTTAAGGAGTGGTAAAAGATTACTTGTAAGCAATCACTGAAATGAAACACAACTAAACTAAAACATTTTGATAAAACTCCAAAACTGCCAAGTATCTATCTTTAGAACCTAAGGATCTGAAGACCCCATTTTAGAAATAATTGGACCCAGAACATGTTTGTAACAACAGTTTTGTGGAAAGATACAAAAACTTTCATAGAGTTGTTACTTAATTGACCTTAAATAAAACCCAAATACACAGTACTTTTAAATAAAATTATATCTTTGTGAAGGAATTCATGTGGAAAGAACCTTCAAACCAAAAGGAAAATCCAGTTATGTAAATCTTACTGTCCCTTTCTATCTTTGCTTTCAGCTTTTCCAGCACCTCATTTTCCATACTCCCGTGAGGTTATGAAATAGCATTCTAAAAAAGAAATAAAAGCTTTCTTACTATAGTTTTCTTTTCTCAGTACTCACACTGATATTCAAAGCAGGACTGATAAATTAGGTTAGAGTTTCTGCTTTTTCTAATCCAGATTGGCATGGGAACAAAGTCCTTGGGCATCAGAAAGTTATATCCACCTAAAGATAAGTTTTAGTACAAAGCAAGGTTTAGGTTTAGGTCATGCCTTCACTAAGTTTGTTTTGACAATAAGTAACACATACCCATAATACTATCATCTCTTCTTGCCTTCCTGGGCTAAGTGAAATTGTGGTTTACAAGAGCCTAATCCCAATATATGTAATTAAATTACCAAATTATGCATATCAGACTGGAATGTAAAGTCACAAAAAGGAGGAGCTTTTTTTAAACCTGTAAATGATTTATTGCTACTGCCGCAATGAGGCCTGTAAACAAGCATTAAATTACAATCAAGGCCTGGGCATGCCTGCAATCGCATTATTTTGGGAGGCAAAGGCAAGAGGATTGCCTGAGCTCAGAAGTTGAAGACCAGCCTGGGCAACACGGCGACACCTCGTCTCTACCAAAAAACCAAAAAAATTAGCCAGGCATGGTGGCACAGGCCTGTAGTCCCAGCTATATGGAAGACCAAGGCAGAAGGATCGCTTGAAACCACCAGTTCAAGACTGGGGTGACTGTGATTGTGTCACTGCACTCCAACCTGGGTAACATAGTGAGACTCCAATTCAAAAAAAAAAAAAAAATTACAATCAGTTCAACTTTGTTTATTAAAAAATATTTCTGAAGTTATTTGAAAATTCACATCCTTTTAGGGGGAAAAAACTTAATTTGCTCAGTTAGAATTAATGACTTTTATTCAGAAAACCAAAAACTCAAAATGAACAAAATATTCATCAATGGGGCTGACACACTGGTTCATGCCTGTAATCCCAGCACTTTGGGAGACCAAGGCTGGAGAATTTCTCGAGCCCAGAAGTTCAAAACCAGCCTAGGCAACATAGCAACACCTCTACAAAAAAAATTTTAAAAATTAGCCAGGCATGGTGACATGCACCTGTAGTCCTAGCTATTCGGGAGGCTGAGACAAAAAGATCACATTAGCCTAGGAGGTCAAGACTGCAATGAGCCATAATCATACCACTGGACTCCAGCCTGGATGGCAAAGTGAGACCCTGCTTCAAAAACAAAGTCATCAACGGAAGAATGAATAAATTGTGACGTACTCCCATAATAGACTACTACTCATATTCATACATACTATTAATACACTACAACCTAATTGAATCTCAAAAACATGAAAGAAAGCAGACACAAAAGAGATACTGTACAGTTCCAGGAATGTGAAGGTCAAACTAATCTATGGAAATAGAAATCAAAATAGTGGTTTCCTTTGAGCTTAGAAGGGGATTGACTAGAAGGGGAATTTTGTGGATAGTTTCTATATTTTGACTGACAAGTTTATTTGTCAAAACTTATTGAACTGTAAACAATACCTATATATTCAACTAAATGTAATTATGCTTCCATTTTAAAATATAATGGTTTATCCCTACATAGTCCCAAATAGCATTGGTACCAATCTGTCTTTTATCAGAAAGATTTATACACATTTTTTGTCTTCCTCATAAGTTATCTTTGCATTTGCTACACAAATTTTTACAGATATTATATGCTTGATAAATGTATAATGAGGTGAATTGAACTCAGTTGTGCCAGTAGGGGAATTCCTAATCAATGATGAGCAAATTAGGTTTGTTTAAAACTCACTTTTAAAGTGTTAAAACATCTGGAGATGTGTGTCAAACATCTGGAGGTGTGTGGCTATATAATACACTTAATGAAAAAGCTGTTGTGTCAACAGAAATAGGAATCGCTGCTCTTTAAGATAGTTTAATAAGAAAATGTATGAAAATAAAAGGAAATTCTAATATAAACAAGATGTAGACTAACTGCTTTCTGGTTGTTTTTTGGTTTTGTTTTGTTTTTTTTCTCTTGATTACTGAATTCTGTGCCTGGTAGTTCGAGACCAGCCTAGGCAACATAACGAGACTTTGTCTCTACAAAAAATCTAAAAATTAGCTGGGTTTGATGGTACAGCTCTATAGTCCCAGCTACTTGGGATGCTGAGGTAGAAGAAGGATCACTTCAGCCCAGGAGGCTAAGGCTGCAGTGAACAGTGATCATGCAGCTGTACTCCAGCCGGGAGACATAATGAGAACCCAACTCAAAAACAAAACAAAACAAACAAACAAAAAAAGGATTGCTGAGATCAATTTATCTGATGGAATAAAGATTTTTACTGAAAAGAAAAATGATGGGGATAATACCTATATTATAATATATATTTCATTGCTATGTGTCTACATTTTTAAACTTTGCTATTAGAAAATTGAGAACAGGGATCATGTTAGGGAGTTTGGTACCCTATACAGTAAAGACTGATATTCACTGGTATAGACTAGAAAGGTATACTTTCATGATAAAATATTCAACAGACTAGGAATAGAAGGAAACGTTTTACACCTGATTAAGAGCATCTATGAAAAGCCCATATCTAATATCATATGTAATGGAGAAAGTGATGTTTTCCTCCTAGATCAGGAACAAGATGAGAACGACTGCTTTATCCTCTTCTATTTAGCATTGTACAGGAGGCCTAGCCAAGGAAGTGAGGCATAAAGCAAGCAAAAATAAATAAAAGGCATCCTGACTGGCATGGAAGAAGTAAAACAAGCCCTATACTAAGTTACACGATCTTGTATATAAGAAATCCGCATAGCCGGGCTCGGTGCCTCAGCCTGTAATCATCCCGCGCCTTTGGGAGGCTGAGGTGAGTGGATTGCCTGAGCCCGTGGGTTCGAGACCCGCCTGGCCAACTTGGCAAGACCTCATGTCTACGATAAATAAAAAAATCAGCCGGGCTTGGTAGCGCATGCCTGTAATTCCGGCTACTCGAAGGCTGAGGCGGCAGGATCGCCGGAGCCCAGCAGGTCCAGGCTGCGGTGGCCGGAAGTGGCCACTGCACTCCAGTCTGGGCGACAGAGTGAGACACCAACTCAAAGAAAAAAAGAAATCCACAAAAGAACTGTCAGAACTAATAAACGAATTCAGCACATTTGTAGAATAAATACCCCCAAATCAAGTGTTATCATATACATTAGCAATGAACAATCTAAAAATGGAATTAAGAAAATAATTCCATTTACAGTAGCTTCAAAAACAAAATATTTCACAGTTTACCTATGGAACAAGTCTTCACATGTACCCCATAACTCTTAAATAAATAAATAAATATATTTAGGGACAATTTTTAAAAGAAATACCAGATTCTGAAAATATTGTTAAAAGGAAACTAAAGAAGGCCTACGTAAGAAGGGAAACCATACTCATGGATTAGAAGACTTAATATTGATAAGATAGCAATTTTCTTTAAGTTGAACTACAGAGTCAATGCAACCCCCATCAAAATTCCACCGGACTTCTTTGCAGAAATTGACAAGCTGATCCTAACATTAATATGGAAATACAAGGCACCTAAAATATTTAAAACAAATTTTTTTTTTTTTTTTGAGTTGGAGTCTCACTCTGTCGCCCAGACTGGAGTGCAGTGGCGGCTCCCAGCCTCGACCTGCTGGGCTCTGGTGATCCTTCCGCCTCAGCCTTTCAAGTGGCCGGAATTACAGGCATGCGCTACCACGCCCAGCTAATTTTTTATTTATTGTAGAGATGAGGTCTCACCAAGTTGCCCAGGTGGGTCTCGAACCCTCGGGCTCAGGCAGTCCACTCACTTCAGCCTCCCAAGTTGCAGGATTACAGGCTGAGCCACCCAGCCCGGCTTAAAACAAATTTTAAAATGATGAGCAGAGTAGAAGGACTCATACTTCCTGATTTTAAAAGTAAATACAAAGCTGCATTAATCAAGACTGTGTAGTACTGGCGTAGGACAGCCATGGACTGTCTCCCCCAAACTCATATGTTGAAGCCTCAGTCCCCCATGTGACTATTTGGTGATAGTGTCTTTGGGAGGTAAAGTTAAATGAGGTCATGAAGGTGAAGCCTAACGTGATAGAATTGGTGACTTTATGAGAAGAGGAATTGACATACACATACCAAGGAAAGGCCACGTGAGGACACGGAGAAAAGGCACCCATGTGCAACCCGAGGAGAGAACCCTCACCAGACACCAGATCTGGCCAGCACCTTGATCTTGAATTTGCCAGCCCAGAATTGTGAGAAATAAATTTCTGTTATTTAAGATAATCCATCTATGGTACTTTTTAAAAATATAGCTGTCCAAGCTAACTAATGAATAGCCATATAGATCACTGAGATAGAATGGAGAGTTGAGATACAAACTTTTACATCTAGATTTTCAACAAGGATACCAAGACTATCCAATGGGGAAAGAATAGTTTTTTTAACAGGTGATACTGGGCAAACTGTAGATCCACATACAAAAGAATGAAGTTGAATCCCTAATTCATTCCGTATAAAACAGTAACTCAAAATGTTTCAGACATCTAAATGAAAATCCTAAAATTATAAAACTAATAAGAAAATGGGTAAATCTATTGGATATGGCAGTAGGTTCTTATATGACACTAAATCCATAAGCAACAAAAGGAAAAATAAACTAATGGACTTTATCAAAATTAAAAATGTGTGCTTTAAAAGATGTGTCAAGGCCAGGTACAGTGGCTCATGCCTGTAAATTTCCCCAAGTGCATTGAGCTCATACACTTTGGGAGACCATGGCAGGGGGATCACTTGAGTCCAGGAATTTGAGAAAAACCTGGGCAACATAGCAAGACCATATCTCTACAAACGATTTAAAAATTAGCCTGGTGTGGTGGCTAGCAACTCAGGAGGGTGAAGCAGAAGGATGGCTTGATCCCAAGAGTTCCAGGTTACAGTGAACTATGATCAAGCCCTGCACTCTAGCCTGGGCAATAGAGTGAGACCCTATCTCTTAAAAAATAAAAATAAAAAAGATGTATCAAGAAAGCCAAACAATTACAGATTAGAAAAAATTTTGAATATAATATATCTAATAAGGGTCTCATCTAGAACATATTAACACATGTCAATAATAAAAAAAAGACAATCCAATTAAAATATAGATAAAAGATTTGATAGACCTTTCTTGAAAGAAAATATACAAGAAAGCAACAAGCAAATGAAAAGAAATGCTGCATCATTAATCATCAAGAAGATAAATAACCAAAACTACAACTAAGTATCACTTCATACCCACTATGATGGCTACAATATTTTTTAGTGGAAAATTACAAGTGTTAACAAGGATGTGGAGAAATGAGAACCTTTATACACTGCTAGTAGAATTGTAAAGTGGTGCCTCTACTATGAAAAAGTCTGATAGTTACTTAAAATGATAAACATATACTTGTCATTTGAACTAGCAGATCCCTTCCTAGATATACACAAGAACAATGAACATATATGTTCATGCAAAACCTTGTATACAAATGTTCATAACATCATTGTTCCTAATAGCCAAAATTATACACGACCCAAATGTCCATCTACTGATGAAAAAAAGATTTTTTGGCTACTTCCTGAAATTCTTAGTGGATCTCTGTTGGAACTGAAATATCTACAAGCACATGATATGATTCTGATCCTGGTTTTCCAAGAACCATTCTTGATACATCCTGCTCTACCCTTACCTTCATGTTTTTACTCACTTAACTCATGTGTACCAGTGGAACATAATTTCTTCCACACAATATGAAAGAAGCAGCTCCCTTTTATACTACCTTATGTACCTTTTAAAATCATGTATAACATTATGTCACTTCTGTTCACATTTTGTGACTGCATTTTCTCTAACATCTAAGTCAAACTAATGTATGTCTTAAACATATATATGATATCCATCATAACTCAGTTTACCGTCCAGCTATATCCTTTACTGTAACCCACGGTATATAGTAGCGACATTGTGCTTTGTTTGTATTTATTACAATGTTTGTTAATACCTTACATTAAAATTCTCTACTCATCCTGGACTTATTACGATCTGATTTGTATTACAGTTAATGGTATATTGATATATATCTATCATTCCCTCTAGATTTTGATCTTTTTTCTTGAAGTCATGGAATGATTCTACCTATTTTTGAGTAACCCTACCTTCCTAATTATTTCTTCTATCAGCTTTTATCACAATGAATTACACGTTAGACACTCAAAAATGTTTCTTGCATAGAATTGAAAAGGCAACTGAAAGCAAATTCTAACTCTAAAGAAAACTACTTTTAAAACCTTTTATAACTAGTTACCAGCATATATTAAGTAAAATTGTCAACAACAGAAAAAGTGTTTTTTAGGTATCTGTCTTTATATGGTCCTTTAAGAGATTATAATCTTGGACACAGTTATACAGATTCACATGTATTATATAAATAAACCAAGAATATCATATTAACTCAATTTGTAGAATACAAATTATGTATCAGCAAATACTAATAAAGGACAAATTCCCTTAATGATGTTTAAGGAAACAAGATTTCATTCCCAACAGTGAACTAAACATGTCAGGTGTTTTGAAGAAATTAGAGGATGCAAAGTTCCTACAGAAGGAAACAAATAATGAAGATCAGAGAATTTCTTAATTATGATTTTATCATCAAACTGAGAAAGGCATGAGAAAACCATTACTTCTTTTTTGATGAATTTCATGGAGGAAATGGATTTTAGAGGTAAATCTATGCCTTGGAAAATACTGCTTATGTACTTGCAGAAGAATCTTTCTAATAGCAAGATATGTGGTATAATGACTTTTGAAGTCTGATGGATTTAGGTTCAAATCTCACCTTTACCACTCAGACATTATAACTTTGTTGAAGTTACTTAAACTTAGAGTACTACTTTCCTTACCTGAAAGCGGAAATTATATGTGCCTTCAATATTTATTCTGAAATTTGCAGATATTATTATTACTATTGTTGTTATGACCGTTATTATTATACACTGTTCACAGATTGTGAAATAAAAGACACAGATTTGTAAAAGAAGAACAGGTGGCAAGCTGATAAACACTAAACACCTGGAGAAGTTAACGTGGCCATGATAATGAAATGTAATAAAGGGAGGTGCTACCAAATACATAGGAAGAAGGAGTTGAAATGCAATACTGATAATTACCCAGAGTCCTTAATACTGAGAGTAGGGTACAGAGGTTAAAAGAAAAAGAAAAAAAGACTTTCATGAACTAAACCAGACTAAAGGGTATCCAAATTTTTCTTTAAAAAATCTGAATTATGAGTATAATTATCTCAGAAACTCATATTTCTCCAATATATATTCCTCTCTTGAAATCCCTAATCTTTAGCTGGACACATTGCCTCCTGGAATAAACAATACATATTCTAGCATTCTCTGCAAATGAATGTGACCATATGACTATATTCTGACAAACAGAATTCAAGCAGAAGTATACTCTGAAACCGTTCAGGAAATTTCTTTAAGTACATCTGGCATATGCCCTTTGCAGTCAGGATATGTGAAGAGTTTATAAAGCCTCCTCTGGCTACATACTTCAGGGAAATTCCTGTGAAATCCCTGCCCGGTCTGCCAATCCGTAGTTGCCCCAAATGAAAGGCAACATGAGGCAAGCAGAGCCACCTGCCATCCGTGTTTGCTTGCCATTGAGATCACCATTTAAACTGATAGTGCACCATGTCAAGCGAACCTCCTCTGGGAGTGACAGCACGGACATTTTCATGTCCTGCCCCAACCTAGTTGAACTTCGGTGTCAACAAAACTGACAAGGACAAAATAAACTCTTGCTGTTCTTACCTGAAATTCAGCGATTTTCGTGAATCAGCACTTCTAAGTTTATGATATGCCTTTACTTTTATTTCTAGAGTGATGAATGGTTGTTTTTAACAGTTTTTTCTAGCTTTGTCATTTCTTTTAGGGGAGGGAATATGTCCCACTGACTTCATCATGCTAAAGTAAATCTCCACCTTTAAATTTTTTCTCTCAAAAAAAAAATTGGAGGATTCCCTCTGGAGTATTAGAAGTAATCACAGTATCTGGTTTCCATGATTGGATGATTCGGGATTCCAAGAACAGTCATTACTTTTTTGACCTCTAGAGAAGAAGTGACAACCACATAAATGAGAAAGATGCTTCTTAAATCATGGAGAATGGGGGCTTATCCCTGTATGCATATCCCTGTATTTTGAAGTTGCTTCAACCTCACTTTATAACTTATGTAGAATATTTTTCTTTTAATTTCAGGTTGCAGTTCAGTTCTTTATGTCTTCCCCTGAAATTATTTCCCTTTCATGGGGGCAAATGAAAGTACAAGGCTCTACTACAAACTATAAGGACTGCAAAGTATGGCCAGGGGGCAGTCGGGCTTGGGATTGGAGAGAAACAGGAACTGAGGTAAGATATGTCTTTGGTTGACACTACATAAGGCTGACCAAGTGATTTTCAACCTCCTAAGCCATAACAACCAAGTGAAAAGTAACTATTTCTCTTTTTTTAAGATATAATTCACATACTATTAAATTCTACGCTTTGAAAGTTTGTGATTTGGTGGACATTTTATATTCATAAACAGTGTACCACAGTTACCAACTGTTAATTCCAGAATATATTTATCACCCCCAAAAGAAACCCCATAATCATTAACATTCAATGCCTGCTGCTCCCTCCCCTCCAGCTCCTGGCAATGATTACTCAACTCTTTTTGCTACAGAAAAGCATCTTCTGGATGTTTTATATAAATGGGAGTGTTCCATTATCTTAGGTGTATTTCTAGGAATGGGTTGCTGGGTTACATGATACCTCTGCATAAACCTTTTGAGGATCTGCCAGACTGTCTTCCAAAGCAGCCACACCACTTTAATTTCCACCAGTAATATATGAGGTTCCAGTTTTTCCACATATCTCCTCACCGACACATTCTTTTTCTCTTTGTTTTTGTTTTTATTATAACCATCCTATGGGGTGTGAAGAATTAGTCTCATCATGGTTTTGATTTGCATTTCACTATTATTGTTTTTCCTCCAGTGTTCTCAGTGTGCCATACCCAAGGTAGAGCTTCCTTTCCATGAGTGTAGGTTAGGCAAAAAAAAAAAAAAAAAAAAAAGGAACATTTCCCCTGGACCACACTCACCTGGGACTTAGCCTCAACAATGGAAAACCAGGGGCAGGGTGAGAAACATTAAATTCCTGCTCCTCCTAGGAAGAAAGCCTTCCAGCTGAGTGCCCAAGGCAAAAAGAGCCTCGTGTTCTTGGCTGTTGCAGGGTGGAGTGGAGCCTCTGCCTCACAACTGGGAAAGGAAGGGAGGCAGCAATCTTGATTTAAAAACTAGGTCTCGCTGGGCTCAGTGGCTCAGCCTGTAATCCCGCGCCTTTGGGAGGCTGAGGTGAGTGGATTGCCTGAGCCTGTGGGTTCGAGACCCGACTGGGCAACTTGGTGAGACATCATCTCTACAATACATCAACAAATCAGCCAGGCGTGGTAGCGCATGCCTGTAATTCCGGCTACTCAGAAGGCTGAGGCGGAAGGATCGCCGGAGCCCAGCAGGTCGAGGCTGCGGTGGCCGGGAGCGGCCACTGCACTCCAGTCTGGGTGACAGAGTGAGACTCCAACTCAAAAAATAAAATAAAATAAAATAAAAATAAAAATAAAAACTAGGTCTCACTTGTCTTTCCAAATGTCTCTGTCAGTTCAGTTTGCTCTCACAAATTCTCACAGACTGTCTTAAACAATAAACATTTATTTTCCATAGTTCTGGAGGCTGAAAGTGGGATCAGAATGATAGCATGGTTCGGTTCTGGTAAGAGCCCTCTTCAGTTTGCAGACAGCCAACTTCCCTTTATATTTCTCATATGGCGGAAAGAGAAGCTTGCTAGCTTTCTGGCTTCTTCTAAGGGCACTCATTCTACTTATGAGGGCTCCACCCTTATGGCCTATATCCCATAGGCCTTACTTCTAAATACCATCATGTTGGAATTAAGGTTTGAATATGTGAATTTTGTAGAAACACACACATTCAGTCCATTGCAGCAAATTTTTATAGATTTTCTTGAAGAGATGTTTCTTCATTTGCTTTGGGACCATTCTCAGAGTCTTTTGGGGTTTTTGGTTTTGGTTTTTCTTTATTGTTGCTGTTTAGTTTTAGAGACAGGGTCTCACTCGGTTGCCCAGGCTAGAGTACAGTGGTTCAGTCATAGCTCACTACAACCTTGAACTCCTGAACTCAAGCCATCCTCCCACCTCAGCCTCTCAAGTATCTAGTCCTACAGGGGTGAACCGCTATGCCCAGCTAATTTTTAACATTTTTTGTAGAGACAGGGTCTTGCTATTTTGCCCAGGCTGTAGTATAGCAGCGTGATCATAGCTCACTGGTTGAACTCCTGGCCTCAAGGGATCTTCCTGCCTTGACCTCCCAGAGTGCTGGGATTATGAGCATGAGACATCCTGTTCAGCTATTTTGTTGTTTTCAATAATTTGTACTTAGGAGCAGGTCAGTGGAGTTCCTCATGGTGTAATGATGGAACTAGGTCCTTTATTTATTTATTTTTAAATGAACCTTGCCAATGTCTGCTTACTTTTTATTTATTTATTTTCTGTAGAGACAAGGTCTCCCTGTGTTGGTCAGGCTGGTCTCAAACTCCTGGCCTCAAGTGATGCTCTCGCCTCAGCCTCCCAAAGTGCTGGGATTACAGGCATGAACCATGGTTCTAGTCCTTCATTTTTGAAGGATAGTTTTGTTGTATATAGAATTATTGGTTGACAGTCTTTTCCTTTCAGTACTTTAAATATGCACTCCAACTGCCTCTTAGCCTCACTGGTTTCTAATGATAAATCAACCATTAGTGTTATGAAAGGTTCCTTGGACTTGATGAGTCACTTCTCTCTTACTGCTTTCAAAACTCTGTCTTTATCTTTCAATAGCTTAACTATGATATGTCTAAGTATGAATATCTTTGAGTTTATCCCAGTTAGAATGTACTAAGCTCTGTGGACATGCAGATTGTTGTTTTTCATGACATTTGGGAAGTTTTTAGCCATTATTTCTTCAAATATTCTTTCTATTCCTATCTCTCTTCTGTGACGCTGATTATGAATATACTGGTATGCTTTAGGGTGTCCCACAGGTTTATTCATTGCCTTCTTTTTTTTTTCTTTTCTTTGCTTCAGACTGGATAATCTCAATTGACCTATTTTCAGTTTTGCTGATTCTGATCTGCTGTTGGACCCTATAGCAAAATTTTTATTTCATTGTACATTTCAACTGTAGAATTTCTATTTGGTTCCTTTTGATAAATTTTTATTGCTTTTTTTTTTTTTTTTTTTTTTTTTTGAGTTGAAGTCTCACTCTGTCGCCCAGACTGGAGTGCAGTGGCCACTCCCGGCCACCACAACCTCAACCTGGTGGGCTCC